GGAATTAAAGCTAAGTCTGCTTTCTTTGCACTGAGAGTGGGTGTCCATATGTTGACCTCACTGAGATCAATACCTGACACTGTTCAGTATTTTGAGAGTTCGGTGGCATCAGAATGAACATCATGAGGCCATTAACATGTAAATGAGCTGTTTCCGCTCATTATTATTGTGAGAAACAAGCATCTGTTAATCGGTGTGTGTGTTTACATTGCACCTACAGTATGAAATGAGCTTTAGCTAATGAATGCAAATGAGCAGAGTTCAGCGTGATGTTTGTTGAGGGGCGGCCAGTGTGACTCCGAGCGGTGGGACTGTTGGAGTCAAAGTCAAACAGGATGTTAGCAGAGAATGCCCGAACTGAAGGATGCTGGGTAAATTCTCTTTCTTTCAGCATTGTTGTTCCCTTTTAAATCCACTGGAGCATTAAAACAACTTGTTCCCCTTTCAGCCTCTAATGTGACAGAAAAAGACATTGAGCTCTGGATGCAGATCAAATTTCTGCACCACCAGTTACAACTTTCTGTGTTATGTCTAAAGTGACCCACAGGTGAAGCTGCCAAATAATAGGTCTAGTGAGAGCTCACAACTTTAACATGATTTGTTTCCCATCATGTGTCGTTGGCATTAGTTTCACATTTATCAAAGTATGAATCAGGGTCAGTTTCATCCTGAACGGCTCAGCTCCTAAATGCACAGAATTACTCCTTGGAAGATCAGTGTGATCAGTCTGGATGGCAGCGTATTCACTGGTAATAACCTTTTTCTTTAAAGGGTTCTGTGGACCAAAGCCAAGTCAAAATAAAGTCTACTCCATAACAGAGCTGGCAGAACACTTCACTGCGGGAAACAAGCACTCAGGTCATGGACTCGGTTTGTCATTCCACATAAATGTACTCTGCTGCTGGTTGAAAACAAGATGAAGGATGACTCATGACAAAGTGACTTTCCCACTTGCCATTTGACCACCGCCGGTGGCCTTTGAGCCACTTTTCCCGATAAAGCGCATTTTTAGGTGTCATGAGGAGTTTATTCATCTGTGAACCTCTTTTTGACGGATTGTTGTGTGAGAAACAGTTTTTTTCATTCCTCACAGTGTGCAACTATCACTGAAGTCGCTGTATGTTAAAGTGAAACACTGGGGCATCAAGGATGATCTATAAGGCACACTAGTGGACGACTACTGAAATCTTGACATCCCCCAACCCCCTGCAGACACACAGCTGCTCACCAGCGTTGTTGAACGTTGATATTTGGTTGAACGTAATTTGTGTTGTTAAGTAACCAAACATTGTCCAAATACCAACATCATCATGACATATAAGATACCAGCATTCTAGTCATGAGCAAAACCCAATATCTGCTAAATGCCACAATGTCAATTTGCCAGCGTTGGATTTTGACGTCAACCTGATTCTTATTATTATCAACCAAAATTAAAACATGTGCCAGATGTTAGGGTCGTTAGAGTCCAACATCTTTCTGACATTACATTGACATCTGGTTCCTGCGGGGAACATTTTATATATATATATATATGTATTTACGCAATCCGTAGAAAGGTATCGATGTGGTGTTGTAACCTTTTCCTTTGACACAAACTGCTGCAGGCTTGATGAAGGTGACAAAACAGAGGAACAAACATTGATATTAAAACAAATGTTACACGTTTTATATATTGAAAATGTGATGTATTCAACCATGTTTTACAGCAGGGGACCATAAACTTAACTGAAGCATAATTTTCAGTTGAATCAACTAGATCATTTCAACATTAAAATACTGTTTACACATTAATATAGCAGTAAAAATAGTAGAACAGAACACTGCACAGTTACTACTTTTACCTCTGATATTAATAATGTGATATGTTGACTCTCATGGTGTTGTATTCAGCAGGAAACAGTTTTTTAGTAAAAAAGGCTTTAAAACCCCACTGCGCACTGCCTGCTCACCTGCTAGCTGGTGAACATAGTGGAGCATTTAGCAGCTAAAGAGTCATATATTTCCTGCTGGTGGAGACCAAAAAAAGAGCTAAAAAAGAGAGAACATTTGACTTACATTCATCAGGTGGCCAGAAACACAACGTCAAATGAACGATGGTGTCGCTCTGGATCTGGTGATGTGTAAATAAGCAACTGCTTGCTCACAAGTTCAACAAATCAACTTCTGTCAAAGATGTGTTCAAACTTTATCCTCACAGCTCCCTCGTGGATAGAAAACAGAGTAGTGCAAGCTTTAGTAAATTTTGAATGCAGGACTTTATCGTACTACTTTAAAATCAATCCGAACACTTTCAACACTGGAACTGACCGATAATCTAGTCTAAGCAAAATACGATCTGGTTTCTGTGGCTGTCAAAACCCTCAATGAGGTAGATGAAAGCATTTGTTTTCAGTGTAATTTGTGTACTCCATCGTTTGAAGGTTTTCCTGTATGTTGTCAAAAATATGTGCCTCACAGTGAAGGATGTGGGAGCTTAGCTGAGACTGTCTTTGTGATTACAGATAAGTCTGCCACTGCTACAAGCAAGGAAGCTGTCATCAGGTGAGGAAATTCCTTCCAGGCTGACATCATTATCTCCATTACTGCTGTGGAAACAGATATTCCTACATCCTCCTGTCTGCCTGTATTTACGACAAAAGTGCGCGTGTGAGCGCGAGCGTGTGTGTGTGTAAAGTGTAACAATATACCAAGATTTATCATTGCAGTCCTTGTTATTGGCTGGCTCAAAGATAAACACTGGTGTGGGAGGGTGTGTGTGGGGGGGGGTTGCTTGGCTGATGGCCATGTGTTGATGTCAGGATACATCTGACTCCGTGGTGGCATCATCATGATAAAGAGCAACGTTTGACCTGCACACACTACTCTTGACTCAAACACAAGACCTAAAAATGACTGTGTGTGTGTGACAGCTGACAGATCCGTATATGTAATAACACCCACAGGCAGGACTCGAGAGGATGATGGCATGGTGATTCACAAGCTCAACACACACATATGTAACAACTCCCTCGAGTCTTTCAAACAAACTAACACACACACACACACACACACACACACACACACACACACACACACACACACACAACACAACACACACACACACTACACACACACACACACACTCAACACACAACACACTACACACACACCACAACACACAGCACAACCACACACACAACACACACTAATTCTTTCCACTCCATTCAACAACACTTCTTTTGTTTGTGTAACACTTTAAAATTTTATTTCCAAAAGACTGGCGGTTTGCAAAAAAAGGATTCATGGGGAATATGCATAGTTTTTACATGACAAATACACACAGCACATACAAACATGCAAACCCAGCAGTTTCTTACTTTGGTAAAGATGCTCTCCATGATCGGTGTCATGCATACAGTATAGCAACAGATGATTAGATATTACAGACAGACAGGAAAACTACTTGTTCCCCAGTACTTATCTTAAAGGAACAGTCCGACAAGCTGAGAAATATGAATGTTTGGCGTCAAACTGAGAATCTGATGAGGAAGGATGTGCTGAGATAGCGTTGCATCTAGGACACGTTCAGACCTAGAACCTCTGTCCCAGAAGCATCTTGATGCTAAGATGAAAAATAAAGATTGTCTAGGCCTTAAGATGCTTGTGGGTAATGGGTCCTACCTCCCTTGATGGTGGTACAGCTGCCATGCAAGGGTCTGGTCTGGCCATCATGAGCGATCTTGAGGCTTAGTGTGGACAGAAGGAGCCAAGGACTGAACCACCAGCCCAGCAGTTAATGGACAAACCACTGTTCCTCCCCAAGCCTCAGCCACTCCAAGATATGTGTTCCATGAACTCCAGAGCTGTCTTATTTACACATTATGTAAGTGATAATGCACAACAAAGTGTCCCAGTACAAGAAATAATTAATTAAGAGGAGGCAAAGAAGGCTGAGACTTAAAGTGGGGCACCGTCTCCTCTGCCAAGTCCATTACTCTCTATATCAGTACCTCAGAGTGCATTATTGTGATTAAGCAAAGGCCACTTAAGGAGTCAATGTTTCAGTCTTTCTCTATTGTTAATGTAGCTTAAAAAATTCATGTTGTTACTTTAAGTTGGGTAAGACCTAGTAAGACCTATTGGGGTTTCCCAATATATGGTTTTAAAGGTGCCTGCTGGTCAGTTTGTGTCTTCCGTGTATTTTTAGCTGGCACTTCACCTCAATTATGTTCTGACACTATAGACACTGGGTCAGTTTATTGTTAGCAACCTCTAGTGGCTGTTGTAGTTATGACGACAAAGGAGAAAGTCAGATGACGAAGTTTAGCGACAGTCTGTGTAAGGAGGAGGTTGGGATGGATGGATGGGTCAAGGAAAACTTTCACACGAGACCACTGTTTGTTTCCTGTGAGAATTATTGTTGTTGCCATGACAACGGAGGTCTGTTGTACATGCTGTACATGGGCGTTGAGACATTGAAGGACTTGTTGGTTAAACCTCCAACAACCAATTTTTTCTCGTTTAGCCACTTGGGAGCAGCAGAAACGTTTGAATGTTTAATATGGTCAAAACACATTGCACAAGCAAAAGTCTAATCATAAAGCTAATGAAAAAGTAAAAATGGGAAATAGGCTCCAAAAAAAGAAACAGCTGCAAATTGCTAAAAAAGAAAAACAGAAAGGAAAACACACATAAAGGGAGAACATAGCTTTTTTGGGGGGGTAATATATGTTTGTGTGTTTGCTTTAATGCATTTTACCATTTGTAACATTTTTGGATCTGGAGCGTGTTTCTTTAATATTGTGCTTTTACTTTTGTGTGTGTTTGTACTCAGGGGCTACATCCACCAGACATCGAGCAACATGAACATTCATTTGGACTCATATTTCTGGCCACCTGATAAAAATGCAAGTCCAACATTTACTTTCATTTTTTTGCTGTTTTGTTCTCCACTATCTCACACCAGCTAGTTGCTCACTGTGCCTGTCTGCTGTTTGATGCCAAGCAGGTAGTGTACAGTGGGTTTTTTTTTTTTTTGTTTGTTTTTGATGAAAACAGCTGTCTGCTGCAGCCAAAATCAAGGCTACGAGAGCAGCGAGAGTGAACCAAAACAAAAGCTGCAGGGCAGAAAACCAAAACAATGAGCTGACATATCGTATAAAGCCCCACAGAGCTGAAAGGAACTGCAGAGCTGGGGGATGATCCTCTCTGGGTTTGCCACTACGATCGGCCTTTTTCACCCCTTCCACACACAAGTGGTCAACTGTTGCACTGTTAATATAAAATATTGATCATAGTTGCTTGAAGTAAACAACACACAAACTAAGACAGCACTGGTGTTCCTGGAATGTGTGTTGATGCTTCTGGGCTAGTTTCCCCCTGTACCTGACACACAGATAAAATTGATATCCATCTTCTTCTTTTTTTTTTTATCGAACTGAGGGTTAGAAAGCAAAACAACCACATTCCTAAAATTTCAGCCTGTTCCTTTAAACCACAAAAACAAAAGAGAAACACAGGTCATAAAGCTAACTACCGACTCCACTTGTATGGCTGCTTCAGATTAATGATAATCACAGTATTAGCATCACTTTCTTCATATGTTGTGAGGCTTTGTGAACATTTTAATAGCATTGTGTCGAGGTGCAAAAACAGAAATAAAACAGCTCAAAGAAAATAGCAGTCCTGTAATGCAATTTCAATTATATAATGTACCTTGAGAGTCCAGCATATGTTTTTTCTTTTCATTAAAGCATTGCTTATCATATGGCTTCAATACAAGTGGTCTATGCGTACTGTATATATTAAAACATTTGTCAAAATCCTTCGAGAGGTTACACAACCTGGGAAGTGTTTTTAAAAATCTCTATATGCTAAAACATCCTCCGTCACAGACCACATCTTTGGCTAACAGCTACTTGGTTTATTCTCTGACACCAGGCTGTGACCTCCACAGTGAAATAAAGCGTGTCATGTAACAAGATCTTTCATTCTCGGTCTCGATAACTACTAACGGTGCGATAACTACACCACCTCTACATAGTTGGCTGGGTAAAGCCCCTCCCACCCTCCGTCCTTCATCCCCCGACACCAGCCCTGATCGTCCTCGTCCTCGATCTTCAAAAACTCCTCACCTGCAGTGAGAACCAGACATTTCATTCTTCTCATAATTTAAATTCAAAAGAAGACCACCAAAATGTGTCAATATGAGGGGCCATCTTTTCCCCTTCGGGGACCCAAGCATTTGAATGGTTTGCCCCTCTGTCTATCAAACAGGAGATTATTTTCGACATTAATCCATGACTAAATTGGTCTATATAATGTTAGAAAATACCAAAAAGAGACCATCATAAAATTTACCAGTGTCCAATGGACATCTTCAGATTGTTCATTTTATCCAGCCAGCAGTAAAACACTCAGAGATACTGAATTTATTATTGAGAAAATAAATTCAATAACTGATTGATTTTAGAAAAATAGTTGCAGATTAAATTGTACCAATCAACTGATCAAGCAACATAACAGACAATTAGACTATTTAAATATATATATATAGTATGAACAGTACTCCAAGTTACACTAATATACACTATGCTACATAGTGTTTCAAATAAATGCTATTTACAGTGGTGCAGCTCAGTAGGTTTGTGTGTGTGTTTACCTGCTTTAAATGACAGCTCATCTGTCTCCTGACCAACATAATCATACAGAGCTCTGACTTTCACTCCTCCAATCATCACACTAGATGACGAAAAAAACGTCAGAAAGACAAAAAGAAGAGACACGGAGAGACAGATGGATCAGTTACAGCTAAAGGGCATCACATTAGTGTAAAAACACAGACCCCTGCATAATTACTTACTCTGGGATAAATCGACATTACAATCTGTACTCACTTCCTCTCTATTGTTCCTTTCTTTTCCACGTCCTTCTTCCCTTTTTTGGTTTTCTTTTCAGGTGTCCATTCCTAAAAAACAGTGGAATAAAACAATTACTACGGTGAAGAACAAAAACTTCACCTCAGTTTGGTATATGGAAACTGTGAACAAGAATAAAAACTAAAATACCTGGAAGTGAGGCCAGTCGGTGGGCATGCCAGGCCCGTGGGTGTTTTTCCACCAGCGAAGATCCTCTTGCTCATCGATGCCCATCAGCGTGTTGTGGAGCTCATTGTAAACGGCTCTCACACTATAAAGACATGTGGTGAATAAAAAAGAGAAGCCAAACTTTTATCCGTTAGCAGGTACTCTTTCTTAAATACTCGATGGAGGAAATTATTTCTCTTCTGTGGTAAATACTCGTAATATGGTAAATACATACAACATAGGTGTATCCTGAACCTGCGAGATACTTTTCTGCCTTCCTTCTAAATGTTTCCAACGTAAGTATTCTCATCATTTAATCGTAAAACATCTCAACAATCAGTCTCAGACAGAAAAATGGTTCTGTTTTCATTGAAGTGGTGCTCGTCAGGCTTTACAATGTGTCATAATCAGCACGATATAAAAACACAATGAGCAGGAATATATGTTGTATACTTAATGTGCCATCTGGATAGTTAATGGAGTGGTATTCAGTTTAACTAACTTATGTTTCTTTGATGATTATACTGTAATAAAAGCTTATTTAAACTTCTAATTGGCACACAATCTGCCAGCACTGCCATCCTGAGCATTTTAAATATTACCTATAAATTAAGCAGATTAATAGAGTATATAATTTCTCTCATCTACCCAATATCCCCATGTGGTTCCTGCAGATTTTATAAAGTAATTGAGTCGCTGTCTTAGCTGTTATTTCCTTTATTAGAGTTGAAGTGAGACACTGAGAAACGCTCATGTGCTAATATGTAGTGAAAGTGCTTTTAATTAGGGCTAAATTAAGTCAAATTATTGATTTTTAACACACTTAGCTCTAAATACACAGCCAGACACAAGCTGGGGAAACCGCAGTTAAACAAGTCAAGGTCAAAATCTAGTATATGGCTGGACCGGGTCGTATTTGCACTCCGCCTAGTGTCAGCCTGTTTAAGCCTTTTATCTGTTTGCTTCTGTCCTCCTCTCTGTGCTCACACACACACACACACACACACTGTATTTTAGTAAAAGCTCATTTACGTGTTTTTCTGTTTCTGTTGTAAGACAACAGAACAAGAAACCCAGCCTATTTATATTAACCAGCAGATTTTATAAGCACAGCATCGTCTGACAAAATCCCCATTCACATGACTTAAAGACAAACGCTGTGCTGTGAAATTATCACTTGGTGCTTCTTTGAAAAAACAAAAGTTGCTAAAGGGGTCTGAAAAGTCAGTATCATTTTGAAAGAGCAACAATTAATGGGGAAACTCCAACACTCGACCTGCCAACCAGTGGTGTAACCTTATCACTCTGCTGGTATTCTGCTGACCAACGTTCAGTCAGTCATTCAGCCACATTTGTATTCAGTCCAGTAGTTCTGGCCCTGCTGTTCCAGTCCAACCAAAAAATCTGTTCTGCTTGCTTAACCACACACGTCGACCTTCATCTGGTCAGCAGAGGCAGCATCTTAGGTGTTACAACCAACACACAAAGCTCTGTGCTTCACCTCTCATTGTTGGTAATGTCCAGATGTTTGTGGATGGAGAGGAAGGCCTGTTTGAGGAAGACAATCCTCTTCCGCTCCTCGTCCTGCGATTGGTCAAAGATGGACTCCATCTCCTCCATGTAGCGAGGAGCGTAGCGGTTCACCTCCTCCAGGACTTTCTCATAGCGGGAACGAACCTGTCATCATGAATATGAATATAGTCACACTTCTCACATGCATCAAACATGAATTAAATCTTCCACACAAACTACCACTTCCTTCCACCACACTTGACTCTACTACTTCAATGCTTTTTTTCAGCCTCCAGTTCCTAGTAGTTTCAAACCATCTATGTGTGTTAGTCAGCAGTCTTGTTCTTCCCTGCCTTTGTTGACATTGCTGTGTTTCTTAGCGCCAAACAAGATGGAGACCCACTCACAAAAACACTACTTCATCGCACTACTAGCAGTTAAAAACTCCACAGGATACCGTTAATCACTGATGAAATTTCGAGTTAAGCTGATCAAACAGATGGAAACCAATCCACAGTTACACGAAAGTGAATCAAACTCCAGTCAAAGAGAGAATGAGTGTGTTTTTGTACCTTCTCGGCCTCCTGTTGCGCCAGCTCTCTCTCCTCCTGGATCTTCTTTTGTTTGTCGATGGCGACATCCGGGTTTCCCTGAGCGTGTGCCTCTCGCTCCCTGGCTACTTGCTCCTTACGGCTCACCTTGTGGTACGCCCTCCTGGCTTTATCCAGCTGTGGACGAGCCAGAAAACACCGTTGCTGTCTGGTAAATGTATACAGTAGTGGAGAAGTAGTTTGCAAGTGAAGGACATTACATGACGCCATCCACTGAAGAGCACTTCATCCTAAAGCTCATTTTGAAAATGGAGATTCACCTGTCTTTAGAAGGCATCTTACTGATACCCAGAGTAAACTCATTCCTAAATAGCAATGCATTACATCCCTGTGGTATAAATATAGACCTTGAATTGAGGCCATTTACTTAATGAATACCCATTTGTGATGTTACAGACACTGTTATGCTTGAAGTATTGATTCCCTGAGACGCTTGTGTATATTTTTGATGCAGATGTGTAATTCTGCCTCTGATGGATGTCCTCTTGTCCTTAGCTGCTCTCAGATCACAGGACAGCACAGATTCAAGTGGCTCATTGCTTCTGAACTCATAAGAGAAACTCTGCAGAAGTGGGTTACTGGTTTAAAGGTCTCTGTTCAGGTCACGGAAGTTCTGGGCCGCATGGGAAAATGTGAGTTGGGAAAGTGACAGAGAAAAGCTCCAAAAAACAAACAACAAAATGCCACGACTACAGCAGAAGACTGGATGTTCTGGGAATTGTGGGAAAGAGCTTGATGTTTAGTTAACTTTAAAACCCCTTAACAAGAAGCAGCCTAAACATGTGTCCAGAGGGGGGTTTGGTACCTTAATCCAGGTGGCAGTTTAACCCTCATGAAACCTCAACAAACTACACATCATTTGAAGACGCAAAGCCTCACAATTCTGTGTTAACTATTATACGATCCCAATGTCACAGTTGCTTATTATCTAACAGGAATTCATACAAAACAGAGAAATGAAATGATAAATAATTGAGAGAAACATTCATTTCTACAATGTTTTTATCTCTGTGAATTTGTGACAGTATCATTTTGGCTAATTCTGACTTTTTGATAGCCCAAAGAGTCGCCTCTCAGAAGAGACCAGCTTTATGACTATTTAAAAGGATGGAAGAATAATAAGCGTCTCAAATCTCCAACCATGAAATGATTTGTTTCATAATAAAGGTTGGAAACAACTCATCTGAGCCAATTAATAACTGTTATTTCCAAGGATTGCTGAGGGGAAATCATGGAATTGGAAATAATTGAGAATTAATAAAAAATATAGCAAAAAAGAGTCAATCAAAGATTAATTAAACAACAAAAACAACATAGAAACTAACCTTTTTAAGTCGTTTGGCCCATGGCTTCTGAGCACGTGCGAAGCCCGTCTCGATGTCCTGGGACTCCTTGAAGCCTCCAAATAGCTTCTTGTGGAAGGTGTCCTTCTGCCAGGTCCGGACCTGGTCTCCATCCTCTGATACCAGGGAGCGACAGATGGAGGCGTGTAAGGAGGCTAGCCGGTCAGCAGAGGACAAAAAACACTGCCAAGCCTTCATAAGAGATCCATACAGAGGACCTGAGGGAGGAGGTGGAGGAAAAAGGAGAGGAGGAGGTGAAGTTGGAGAAGGAGGGAATCACAAATTCTTGTATTTTTCTTTGTATTTTAGAAATGATTCTGATGTAACCAAAATAATATATTACCATCTCTATCAGGAAATTTCATGATCATTATTTACATGTTCATCATGTTGTAGACAGAATTAGCTGGAGGGTGGGAGTTACTGTACTCACTGGAGTCCACTACTGGCTTCCACTTGTTGCTCCACTCACTGAGCTGCTGGGCGTACTGCCTCTCCACGCGAGCTCTCTCTTGGAAACACGCCACTATGTCATTGCAGGCCTGGAAAGCATCTTCTGTTCGCTTTACAGTGCGCTGATAGTTACCAGGCTGCCAGGACACAAAGAGAGAGGACGATCTACTGTTCACACCAGATAAACAGCGGGAGGTTTGTGCTTTAAACCCCCATAATAAAACCCAACAACCTTTTTTTGTTATTGAAAAAGCAGAACATGGACAATTTACCAGTGTTCAACACAGTCCTCTGGTTTCTTTTCTTTATAGTGTCAACATTTCAATGGCACAGAGGAGAACATCTGCTCACAGTTTATTCCTGGAACCAGCCTGTAGACCATAAACTGAATTAGACCAAACTAATTCAAAAACTTGATACTGAGCATTAAAATAGTTCAAGTCAGCATGACTCTTCTACTCTTAATACTACTACTACTACTACTACTACGACTACTACTACTACCTATACTGTTATCATTACCATGAATAGTACCTCTGTTGCCATATTAAAACTACAACCTCTACTGCTACAACAGGACACCCTCAATTGTAAGTTGCAATCGTCCTTTTATTACTTCTAATGCTGCTACTAAGCACAGTACTCCAGCTCTTTCTAAGTAAAGTAAGTTTGTTTATGTAGCACAACAGTAGTGCGACAGAAAAGAGAAAGACAGCATGGAAAATAGAGACGGATAAAAATGAAAATAAAAGATTGTTGTTTTGCACTAAATGCCAATGAAAACAAGGGATTTTAAAGACGTTTTTCTTAAAACTTCACTAATTTGCAAAAGCAGTATCACCCTCAGTTTTCAAACTTCTTGCCTTTGAAATACTAGTGCCGTACTACTACTGCTACTGTAAATGCAACGACTTCTTACCACTCGCTAACTACTACAACTGCAACCACTAATATTCCTCCTATAGACCTCTCTCACAGCTGATATTTAACTATACTGTCCAAAAAGCAGGGAAACAGTGGGATTGATGACGTTAAACAAATAGCTTGATTTGCTTTCTTGCATTGTTAGATTGAAGATTGACCACTCTCACATCCGTACACTAAATATCCAGCCACCGTCAACAGCTGGTTAGCTTAGCTTAGCATAAAGACTAGAAACATGGAGAAACAACTATATTGACATTACAAAATCTGTCTACCAGCATCTCTAAAGCTCAGTAAAATGTTAAAGCTCATGTTTCTCTCTCTCAAGTCTTTATGCTAAGCTAAGTTAACCAGCTCCTGGTTCCAGCTACATGGTTATGTAAGGAAGTGAATAAATGTATTTCCCCAAAATGTTGACCTATTCCTTTAACGACTGCTCTGCTCCATTTAGGTGTCCCAGTAAGTTGTGCCAGTTAGCTAGCATGCACAAAACCATGAACTGGAACTGGAAGAGCTAATTGGAATGTAGCCATTATTAATGTTTTTAGTTACACCTGTGTTTGACATAGATTAATATCTATTAGTGCTACAACTACTACCATTCCTGCTTGTACAGCCACTGGTCTGCATCACATTCTTTGGTCAGTTAGTCACAACTTGCACCCTAGTCTCCCTTCACAGCTGTCACACTGCTGCAGCCGTCTAAGGTCAACCCCCACGTGCCACAAGTGACACTTTACTGGCATTACGTTTCCTGTGGTGAACTCTAATGCCGGCAGCAGCGCAGGGTGTGGTCGGTGGACGACGCGAGGGCGAGAGGCCTGGCCATAAAAAGCCAGACAGAGACGGTAGAAAAGGAGGACAAGAGGGCAGCAGCAGAGGGAAGGCACTGAGCGTAATAACATATCTGAAGCAAGTGTGTTGTTTGTGGATGTGGAATCTGGAAATCTCTCTGCAATTTTCCTGGCAGCCGCCATCAGCTCCTACTCAGCACTCACTCCTACTCTCTTTTTCGCTTTCTGTCAGACTCTGTCTGTTAATCAGTGACACGTTTAGACAGCTGGTTGAAGGTTTGTGGACATGATGTATGTTGTCATGTTGTGTTAAATCATCTGAGGTAATGCACTTATTGTAAATACTGTAAAATTACGAAATACAGCAGGACTTTCTCATGGCTGACATTTACACTTGTCAGACACAGCAGCAGTGGAGCTGGTGTTGTGCATGCTGGCTCACTGACATGGCTTACTAGGAAAACTTAACGCCATCATTAATGTTATTTGTTACACCTGCATCGGCATATTGTATGTCTGCCTTATAACTGATGCTATCCCTGTCTGCATGCTTTTCATACACACTAAATACATTACACACAGCACCCAGTGTACAGCTTTCCTCAGCTTCTTGAGGCTACAGAGCTCGTACTTTCTTCTTTTCTTTGGCAAATTCTCTGTAAGATGATCTTTCATTCCCCAGAGTATCAACAACTGCTCAGTGGAGAACAGACCTTTGCAGACCCACAGTGCAGACCCACAGTGACTCTGTGTTTGTTAATCAAAGACCAGGATCTTTGTATTTTACCACTAATTAAGAGTTCTTCCATCCTAATGGGAGTCTTAATTAGTGGTTAATTAAACGCAAAGTGCATTGGAAAGGTCGGTCAGTTAAGTCTTTATATGTTAAAACATGTTGGTGATGCGAGCAGCAATGGTCAGACAAATATTCAGTATGTTTTCTGCTACAGGTAGATTAAAGATTTAGGACATCTTCAACAGAATATGAAGTCACACTCATAGATATTCCTTTCTTATGTTTTCAAGTCAGATTTGAGCTTTTGGTAATATTTAGCCTTATTGGTAATGCATCATTTAAGGTATGTGACATTTCCCATGTTGTTGTGCATTCACAGGTCTAAGGACATTTTCTTTCTTCCCCTGGTCATCACAAATTTGAAGGTGAAAAATTAAAACAGAGCATGTGCAAAAACATGCACCCTGCCTGTAAAAGAGATTTACATTTACACTGACAGCCTTTTTTTTTTTTTGCCTTAAACAGAATCGACTGGGGGTGGGGGGGGGGGCTCTCATCAGCGCCCCCAACCCTCCCTGTTTCTCCCTTTTTCCTCCTTCCTTACTTTCTTTCTGCCTCTGTTGTGGTTTGCACTGAATCTCCTCGCTCTCGTCTGAGAATTAATCAGAAACAGCTGAGGAATCCAGTTTGAGGCCAGCGGCAACGCTGCAAAGACTCAGTTGGCCGATCTCTGAGGCAGATGCAAATCTGTTCAGGCAACAAAACGCAGCATCGAAGAAAACGGCCACGGTAACCTCATCTCACAAAAAACTGATCATATCCAGACTATAAAGTGTGTCATTGCACAGAGAGAGGAGGAATATCACTCTTTTATCTCTCATGCCATGAAACTGTTAAATTCTCAGGATGAGTCAGCTGATGATCAGTTTTCCACATAAAAGTGTGTGTGTGTGTGTGTGTGTGTGGGGGGGGGGGGGATCTTAATCATGGGCGGCATGACGACAGCTGGATGTACTACAGATCAGATCTTATACTGTCACTGATGTACGTTATTGTGTGGGGCCTTTAGCATTTGTTTTGCTGGATTTTGTATGTGTTTTATGCATTTTTTAGTCTGTGTTCTGTGTTTTAGACAGATTTCTCCTTGGAAACAGTATAGTTAAAGTATTAGTAAAAGCTACTTATGGTTACAGTAAAAGAACTGCAGTAGTACTTGCAACAGTAGTAGTAGTAGTAGTAGTAGTAGTAGTAGTAGTAGTAGTAGTGGCTAAACTAAGAATAGTAGCAGTGATGGTTTAAAATAGTAAAATACAACTAGCACTATTCATACCAGCACCAGTTGTAGTATTAATAGAAGTAACAGAAGTAAACTATTCTCATGTCAAATTTTACATTCATCTCCTTGTTTTTACAAAACATGTCCACTTTATGAGACACTGCACAGCACTAAACAAGAGAAGAAGAAAAGCCCTGACAGAAATGTTTGTCTTAATAAGATACATAGACTCAACAATCCAGTCCAACATTTACAAAGTCTGCTGCTGATTTTAAAACACAATCGTCTTTTGCTTTATATATGAAAACAGCAAGAGGATCTGTTCAGATGATCCTGAATAAGGACTCAACATGAGCAGAGTCTGACCATGCAGTGCATTGGTGGTGACTAGTAGTGTAACATGGGACCAGGAACAGAGTCTGAAGTGTCACTGCAGCATGTATGTATCTATCAGTATGAATAGCCCACTTGTATACTCTACAGAATCTGCTGTAATTGCAAACCCCCTGACTGACTTTACAAATACGAAACAGTGGAGCTGAATGTTGCAGTATAATGACAGACAGCCCCTGAGCATGGCGGCAGGATGACACAGACAGGAGCAGGCCTGGAAACACATCCAGCACTACAGGAGGCTGCCAAAATTACAGGAGGGGAGAGATGAAAGTGGGGCAGCCCATTGAGGCCAACGGGACACAAAGCCAATATTAAAGCGGTAGCACACTCAAATTAGATAGTAAGGCACTTTGAATGTTGGAAGTGTTTAAAACACAGAGTGGTGTCGTGTAAACAGAGTGCACACAGTGGTTAACACAATGGAAAAGTCCAGTGGGATGATGTTTTTTTCCTGCTGCGGTTAAAATCCAGCCCATTTAAAAAAGAAGAACAGTCATTGGGAATAAAATAAAAAGTCACATATTTTTTTTTAGAATTAAGCTAAAATTAATCTGTAAATCACTTCAGCTTCAGGTCTTTATTCTGTCTGGGTTAGAGCTATGAAATAATGTGCCATCACATCTTCTGTTAACAGTATCCATCAATAAAATACTGCACTCAGGGACTATCATTTTATGAAACATTATGGTGAAGCTCTTATTTTAAAGAGACAATGTTTAGAAATATGCTGAAATATGAAGCTACAGACAACACCCAATTAACTTAGCTTAGCACAAAGACTGGAAACAGGGGGAAACTGCTAGCCTGTTCAATGGTTAAAAAATCCACCAGCCAGCACCTTTAAAGCTCACTAAATAACACTGGAGTCTTGTCACAGCCAAGAAATTGTGCACCACAAAACCTCTTCTAATACTATGACATTTCATTTACACTTTGGTTTTTGAATGGATTAAATAGACAAGATATAACGTGTTAATTTGGCAGATGTGTGTATGGTATCCCCTGTGATAGACTGGAGACCTGTCCAGTGCGTACCCCGCCCTTGCCCAACGTCAGCTGGGATCGGCTCCAGCCCCCTGTGACCCTAGGCGATATATAAGCGATATAGCTAATGGATGGATGGAGAGTGGTATCAATATTCTCATCTATCTCTCTGCTACAAAGCGTATGTGTTTCCCATATAAGTCATTCTGGACAAATCCATCTGCTAAATTAATGTAAAGTTTAAAAAAAAAAAAATAAATAAAAGATCTGTGTACAGAAGCTGAAATAATAATAATAATAGCAATAATAATAGTTACCTTCATTTGTATAGCACCTTTCATAGATAACTGCAGCTCAAAGTGCTTTACAAAGCCAAACGTTATCTGGCAGCAGACACCACAAATAAAACTATCAGGCAGTCGTAGTGTAGCAGAACAATAATGTTGCAGAGACCACTGAAAATGGAAAAACCCCATCCTGGTTCCTTAGAGACGTGACCCCTGAGCAGACTACTTTGTCAAGCAAACACAGACAATCAAATACCTAATGAGCCGAAGACTATAAAGAAAAACCTTCGAAAACCTTCTGTGAGCGCAGTTAAACCCAAACGAGCTGGCTCAGAGTGTATGTACAGTGGTTACTATCACATTTAGAAATCAAAGCACAGCCTTGTTTACAATGATACGGAGCCTGAACGACAAAATTGTTGTACGTCTGTATTCACTGGAAGGTCACTGAGACTAGAGAAAGCAAGGCAGAAGCTATGTTGTGTATCTCGCTGTCCCATTAGGATTCAAAGAGGCAAACACACACACACACACACACACACACACACACACACACACATATAGAACACACATATTCTTACCATCCAGAAGCTGCGATTGTTGGCATCTTCAGGGCTGTTTTCTGATGGCAGCGTCGACATCCTGTTCTCTGAGACAGTAAAGAGAATATGATTAGTTCAGACTGTGGTATCACTCTGCCTGTTAAGGTGCACACTGACCTCTCTGTTATCGGCTTCAACACATACACAATGAAGGTTTTGGGGCTTTGTAGCAACAATATGAACAGCTAGTTCCCTACTACTACTGTCATCTAGTTCAGAAAATGTTAAAAGAAGCCCTCCTACAACCATTATAAAACGTAGTTAAATGTCAATCAATCAAAAATTATTCCAGTTTGAGGATATATCAGAACTACAGTGACTCTCACACGATTATCTCGCCAACTACATCGTGGACAATTATCAAATCCAGAACTAAACCACCACCAAGAACCACATATCCATTAGGAAGCCATTTCCTCTAACAGTGTTTTTTTCTTCTTTTTTTTTTTGTTAGACAGCCCTGTCAGATGAACTCACGTAACCCTTCATCGACTGACTAATGGAACGAGTGGATATAAAAGTGGATGTTGCAGTATTTTTTCATACGACTGAGCAATGAATGTTTAGGTCGATTTGGTTTGGTTTGCAAACCACCGTGCACCTTTTATCCTTTATTTCCATTTACTCTGCTCTCATGTGGAGTGGTTTTCAGGCACTCTTAGTTATGTACTTGTTAGTGTTACAGCTTTTTAAATCAAATCATTAAAATCTATTTTAATAAAATGACTCGAACTATTCCAGTCTTTCCATGTGCAACTACCTATTTAAGATGCGAAGATATGCAGCAGATGTAACATGTCAGGGACTGAACCGTACAGTGGAGTCTCTGTAAACCCATTAAACAGGTGGGAGTTGACGTGTACAGTAAATTTGAACCAGGAGACGTACAGTAAATGAAGGCAAGTCGCCATGACAACATCAACGGGGAAGGACTGTCCTCTCCCAGCAATTCCAGCTTTGAAACATGAGCTATCCTAAAATAAACAGGGGCTAAAGGTCAATGCGCGTCCCATCATTCACACTCACTTTCTTCCCATGCTGGTGGCTATGTTTTTTAATTATTACTATAAAACGAAAAAACACCTGCACACTTGCTCGTATGCTATTAAACCAACAACAGACACAAACTCACGTCAAAAGGTCACTGAAATACTTAAAAGGTTGTCTCACTCTAACTTAAGTGCTCTACATACAGTATTTGTGATGAATATTACTTTATGCTCATTTGGTTTCATTTCTGAGAAAGAAACTTTTCCAGTTTAATATTTAAGCACGCAGCACTTTTTGCCTTCAGGTGTTTTTAAACCCTGAAATCCACCCAGACTGAGCCTTCATGTCTTGCCTGTTTTCCTCCCTGCAGCCATCTCTCCTCATGGCTCTGTTAGACACACAATTAGATTCAATGATTTCCCTCCACATCCTGCTGTTCACGGGGCATCACATGCTCCACTGAGAGCACAACACCATGCCTCTCCCCGCCTGAATCTTCCCCTTTCCATTCTTACTCCTGTCATATCTCTGCTGCTGAGGCCTTGAAGATTACGCAACACTAAGATGTGCAGGAGGTCACAAAAATAATGAATCGCCTCCCTTTTAACCCTTGCCCTCGACTTCCTGTCCCCTCGCTGAGTGGCTTTCCTCTGGGCATGACTGTGTCAGAGTTTTCAGAGGAACGTGGGGGTTGGGGGGGCTCTGCTGCTGCTGCTGCTGCCTAAAATCAAATAATGTTGTACATTCCTGCAACTTTTACTAAGTAGTCTCCAACCTTTTGACATGTGCGCTTTACTTGTGTGTGTGCAGTGCAAACTCTATGACAGATTCACTCTGTAAAGGAAAATATGAAGTCCAATCTTCTAGCTTAGCTGTGATCTACTTGCATGCCTCTAAAATATGATTTCATACTTTTCAATAGGAATTATGCTTCGGTCTATGTGCAAGAGAAAGTATGGTGCACAGCTCTATATCTACTGGAATCCATTTGATGGTCAAATAGGCCTTTCAAATACGATTTAATAGCTTTTATAATCAATTTAAATGTCCTCTAAGAGGATCCAAAACCTAAGTCTGAAGTCTTAAAACATATATCAATGAAATAAATTGTAGTTGGCTGACTGCCGTTTGAAAATGGCTGTGGCCTCTCAGATAATTGTGAGGCATATTCATATATTCCAGACTTACTTTTATTAAGCTACAAAAGGTAAAACTAAGTGGTAAAATATTTATCATGTAAATACATGTAAATACTTTGCATATACACACTACACTGTCCCGTAAGTACAACAGAGAGTATACTTTATAACTTACCACAAGCACAGATCTAATTCCACCATGGGTCTTCCAGACTTTTTATAATCTCCTGGTAGGTCAGACAGGAAATTTGTCCCCTAGTGATCCAGTAACTTGCATTAGTCTAGACTTCCCACTATCTAAAACTTAAATCTACAATTTACAAAAAGAAAAAAAAAAAAAAGTTACAAAAACCAGTTAAACCTGAAGCTTATTTGTGTTAATAAGATCCAGTGTGGAGCTTCCAACCAACCAAACTCTTTCACCCCTGTATCCTGCACGCACTCACTCACTCCTCCCACTGTCCCCGTTTCATCTGTCACACATAGCTCAACACACACACACATTGCATAGAGGAAATATATAGCAACAAATGAACACATGGAGCAGAAATAGGAGCTCAATCACTCCATCAGATCTCTCTGAAATGCGGCCATTCAGCTGTGGCAGGCTAACAAGTTCCTTACCTCCCTCTGAATGTTGGGGCCCTCTCTGCTTCAACCCCCTTTTTCCTCCTTTGTTTGGCTGGTTAAAACTTTTTTTTCTCCCCTATCCACTCTCTGTGCAGACTCTCGGGCTCTTTTCCTTCCTCTCTTGTCTTCTTCACCCTCCTCTTCACCCACTCCAACTTTGATTTTTCCACTCGTTCAGGACAGTGTTGCTCCTGCTCTTCCCCTTTCTTTGGCCCACTGTTTGTGTCAGATGAGTTGGCTCCTTTTTTTCCCTTCTCCTCCCTCCCTCCCTCCCTCCCTCCCCTCCCTCACCTCGTACTCTCTCTCTATTCCTCTCTCTCTCCAAAACAGCTGCAGGAAATTTACTCTCTTGTTCTTTGTACTTCACCACTCGTCGGAGAACGTCTCCCGCTTCCTCTCTTTCATTCACTTCGCTTTGCCTCCCTCACAGTAGTGTTGATAAAGTGTGCCATATTGTGTTTTTGTTTGTGTGTGTGTCTAGGTGAGTCAGACAATACCTGAGACACCCAACCAAACTGTGTGTGTGTGAACGTGTGTGTTATAATGGCCCATTTACTATGTTTGACTATTTTACAAAGCAGCATAACCAGATAAGGGAAACTTCATCCCTCTGTTGTCTTCAAACCCCAGTTTCCCTCCCCACAACATTCCCTCGGGACAGTTTGGTAGGCCTGCCTCCACAGCTGGAGGACACATCCGGTGTGTGTGTGTGCATGTGTGTGTAAAACAGAGCTGCTTTGAAGTCAGAGGCCCCTACAGAAGAGGAATTGTACACAGTCACTTACAGTATCCCACTCTTGGTGACATAACACTTCATGCTATGCTGAACTGATGAAACTTTGTCATGCCAGGACATGCCATGTAAATAACTAGACAGCTGTTAAAGGTTGCATTGCTCACGCCCCAACTGAAACCTGCTCTTAGACAACTGTAACCGTACGTTAGTAATCCTATAATCAAAACTGGAAGGATGGTAGGCATCGTATCATGATAGCACGTGAGCTCCTGTAATTAAAATGATAACAGCTACAGGAGACAGACAATGGCAACAAGTGGAATAAGGTCCCTGTTAAGTGATATCAAAAATAACTTCAAATCTTCAAATACACAGGATTTTCTTTATCAAACAGAGAAGTCTGAAATGTTTTAGTAAAGTAAGCACATGTTTACTTTGATAAAATGTATTGTTGAATGTGTCTTTAAATTTACATAAAGAAAATATTGTCCGATTACAGAAGTGGACTTTAAAATCCAGTCTACAAACAGTACACTTAAAGTTCCTCTCCAGACATGTTTTAAACTATGTAAAATTTAAGATTATTAATATTAATAATATAATTAATATTTTGTTTAATGTAGTTCTCACACATAAAAGGTGAAAAAAAATGGCTGGAAGGGTTGGAAGCACATTTACACTTACTTCCTCATTGAAAAATCTGGATCAGGCTTTGTGCCCCGCCCACCACCACTGCTGCTTGCGCTTGGTTGACCAGTGAAAGAGCAGAGAGTATCAAGATGATTAGCGTTACAGGAAACATTAGAGAGATTCAGCCATGTTTGGGCCTCAGTCAGACTCAGATGAGGAGTTTGTTGTGCAACAAAACCTGCGACTAGCAGACATATCAGAACGGTTAACGTAGTTAGCATCTTTAATTTGTTTATGTTGCTTATTAGCTTGTAACTGGCAGTGGCTGACAAAGTATTAGTGCTTGTGCTAATGTAAACTATTGCTCTCTGGAGCTGTTTATTTTGCCTGTCCCTCATCCCCGCAAGTAGACGGGATTGGCTCCGAGGGTTATATGACATATATTTTTTATGAGACTGTCATTGGTTCACTGCAGTTCCAAGGTGGAAATACGCAGTCATGGTGTTGAATGGTGTTAACATGATTAAAAACTTGATTTTTATCGGCAGGGGTCTGCATGGAAAAACTGCATACAAGTACATTTATCTGGTTTACTTTGATGTGAATTAAATTATGAGTTTTGAAAGACAGATTCATGTAGAAATAGACTGAATCAGCCCAGGCTTTGAAAGCTTCCTGAAGCAGTGATGCATATTGGGCTTTGAAAGGTCAATTCTCAGTCCAGTTACATGGCTTTGCATGTTGTTGTTGATCTATTTCTACACTTATGTGTATATACGTTTTCCAGCTCTCTAGTAGTACTTACAACTCAACATTTGGCAATAACTACTAACTATAGAACCACATATTTTCTATGTTTATTTCCAGTGAGATAGAGAAGTTACAGTTACTCACTGTGACCTCTAGAAGGGTATCAATACTTTTAGATTATAAAGATACTCCTGAAAATTGTAAACTTCACTCTTGTTGACTCAACTGCACAATAGGACTTGCATTCTCAGGATACCGCTACAACTTGATAGAGTTGGTGGTTTCCATCAGAGTATTTATAATCTTAGTTATACACTGCCCTCTGCTTGTCACAATTTGAACATCTACACATTTGTCTAATAAAAAAGATTTGATTTTAAAGGTTTCAACCAGAAATATTACAATGCTATTGCCTACTCACTGTGACCACTAAAGAGCATAAATACTCACTGACATACAGACATGTTGAAACGACTGGCTGCCTGTGCTGTGAAGTATGCAGTGTAATGTCAGAGGAAAGTGCACAGCAATAAGAGTCAGTGACTTTCTCTGCAAAAACTTCAGATATGCTCCGTTTCTATTTTCTTTTACCTGTTTTGTTTCAAAGTCAGCATATGCTTTCATAATCACTTGTTGTGCCGTCTAGTGGCTACAGGGAAAAACTACAACTTTTTAAGTGAACATCTGCAGTTGCGTGTTGTGACCACCAGATGGCAATGTATGGTAATTTCAAACATATCACTAATGTAGCTTGTGCGCTACTTGGTACTGATGAGTAAAGTGGATATTAGTAATTAAGAAAATCTCAATATTATAAAGATGACAGCTCTACTAAATATTTAGGCAAACAGTTCCAAGCTAATGTCTTTGATAAACACTTTCAAAATATAAATTTAACTTAGATGGAACAGTTGTATTGTTCGTTCATGCATTGATTAGTCTAAGAAGCCAAGTTCTAGCTAAAAGTTCTTTGTGTAGTGTTTTTCTCTTAAACTGATGCCTTCAGCTCTCTGTGGCTATTGCCTTGCTCTTAGTGGTTCCTGGAGCTAGAACTGCTGAACGCCAGAATTTGAAAATACATCCTCTCTCCTGCAGCTCTCCCCTCATTGGCATATGCACACGCTTAATCATACACACACTGTAAGCCTTTGGCTACAGTTAGCAGAAGACTAAATTATTAGCAACATTCAACATAGGCACTTATCACCTGCTAACTCTACCTACACAACCAACCACTACAACACGTTAACAGGAAAATTAAGTTAGTAGCCTGTTACCTGTCCAGGAGAAGCACAACTTCTTCTTCTTCTTCTCCCCATTATTGACATATCTGAAGGGAGGTAGTTGAACCTGTGGCTTTTGTGTCCCCACTTTTCCTCTGTCCATGCAGTGTTTCCTGTGGCAATGTTTGCCTCACAAGCGCAAAACAGAATATTTCCACCCCCAGGATTAACCTTACGGTTTGGTAAAAATGACGGTAACCACACATCAACAAAGTGTGTATTTTTCCATAGAACTATTGAATACAAACGTGTGCTAATTCAATGAGGCACATTCATGTTAAGCAAAGAGAACCTGGACTTGTTTGCTAATTTACTCCCCCACGCTCCACTCCGGCCCAGTAGGTGGCGGTAAAACACTTACACACACAAACTGGCCGCCAACCGCTGATATCCACGACATGAAGAAGCAGCTCTGGCGACAGTCATTTGGTTGCTGTCTGCTTCAGACGCAACACCACTGATGAAAACGGTAAGCTAACATTTTAAGTTTAAAGTTTATTTTCGTGATAAGATGTAGTTAGATTAGTAGAGTACTGTAGTGAAAACTGTATGTGTTACACATAAAGTACAGCCTTTCTGTTAAGTGGAGGGACCACATTAACATTCACAGCTGCGGATTGTTTTATACTCAGAATGTAAGTCAAACTTTGATTTGGTTTGATTTACGGCCGTAGCAACAAACAGTTGGAGCTCTTTGTGAAAGCTTGGTGGGTTATGAAAATATATGTATATGTATTATATGTTTGGATATATTTGCCATATTCAACATGTTGACATGTGGCTATGACTCAAAGCATATGGCCTCTTAAAATACTCGTGTTTTCTGGTAGTGAACAAAGCAACGTTAAAATGACACATTTCTGAATTGGGTTTGCTTGTCGCCAGTTATTGCAGTTTGCTCAAGCATACATTAGCATTGGATAGCCTGATAGGCAGCAACATTGTGGGCCTATATCCACGTGGTAAGCCTTTAAGGTACCATTAGCATGGTAGCTAACAGTGTGATTATCTACAGAAAGGCAGCCATCATAAGGTAGGGAGCAGGACACATGAATTACTGACTTTTATAACACATAACGCGTGACTTAATGTCGTCTGTAAATGGTTATATGGTATATTATATAAAGCTGAAACGATATACGTATTTGATAATCGATTAGTCATTGACTGCATTCTTCTTGTATTTATTGCGCAAACTAATCAGAATTATTGGCATAGACTAATCAGTAATGAAAATACTAGATGCAGCCTTTAATATGATCAAACAGTAAGTGGATTTAGCTGTCCCTCTCCCCTGATGACTTGCACTGGGCTCTGAATCTGTATGGAGACAACGTGCGTCTTTGGCCCTGACAAGCCAGAGTTTCTGAGGAGAAAATTATTTCATCTAAGTCAAAAGTTATGGTCATGAAAAAGCAGCAGTAACATGTTTTTTTTTGTTTTTTTTTTGGCCCTTTCAGATCACCTTCAACACCACTTGGAGACCACACTAGGCTTGGTCCAAAAAAGGTGGGTAAAAGACAACTTTCTGATAATTAAAAATGCTCTTATGGCAACCAGTGGTGTAGGCAGCCACATAAATCTCATAGTGAACAAAGGTGTTGTAACGAACTGAGACCATAAGAGGGCAACGAGCACTGACGATTTTACACCTGTGACAACACGAGGTCCATGAGTCAATTCAGACAGAACAGTGCACTAACAATGTCCATGGATCACTGCAAAAATCATAACTTTAAAATTAGGCGGAAGTGTAGCGAGAGTACTTTGACTATTGAAATGGAGATGTTGCACTCGAAGCAGACCTTGTTCATTGTGGTCGAGGAATTTTGGTGTGTTGAAGCAAAGCATCGACACATCTTGCCACAATACGTCTTCGTTGGATGTAAGTACTGTCTGTGTCTAGTAGTCTGCTTCAAGCGCAACATCACTGTGGATGATAAGCTGACTTAACACTCGTATTGAATGCCGAAAGTGAAGTTTATTGCTGGAGAGAATCGCTGTACTTTACAAATAAGCCACTGCAACCCAGTGCTTTTCTGTTAATGTGAAGGGATTACATTCATTCCTGCAAGTAGTTTAAACTCAAACTTTGATTTGATTAGTGTGGGTTTCAGCTGCACCTCTCCCCTGATGACTTGCACTGGGCTCTGAGTCTGTATGAAGACAACGTGCATCTTTGGCCCTGACAAGCCAGAGTTTCTGAGGAGATGATAGATAATAGAAACGGTGGTGAATCAAACGTGAGAACTGTAATAAAACAAACACTTGCTTTTGTCTTTTTCAGGTCTTCAAACAAGTGAAGTCTCTCCTCGACTGGACTTAAATAAGGTTTGTGTCATAATACTACATCTCTTGATAACATCTTAATGACACACGTTTGTTTCTTGTGATGTTTTGCACTGGGCTCAGAAAATCAGTGTTGACAGAAGTGCAGCTCTGCCCATGACAAGGCAGAGTCTGAGGAGATGATGGCTAAAAACGTTTGTTTCAACCTTGTAGGTTTATGATTGTGCTGTTTGAGTTGTTAGTCTGACTGCTGTTTTCCTGTATTTCAGGTACTGGTCCCACAGACGTCATCTGCCTTATGGCCATGTTAGGACATTTTCTTCTGTTTTTGTTGTAATGTGATTTTTTTTTTTTTTTTTTTTTCCAAGCCTATTATCCTATATTTGCTCTATCTAAAGAAATAAAACTCTGCATCTTCATTTTGTCTCTTCACTTTTCTACAAATATACCAGAGTAAGGAACGGTATGTTACTGAAATGATGTAGTAACTCATGAACCACTCTGTTAGTGGGTTTGTTTATTAGGTGTAAATTAAATGACAAAACCAAAGTAATTTAATACAAGGTGTGTTTCAAGATTAACTCACTGGGATGTTTTGTCATGTTATGAGCAAGACTGGTCTCACACACACACACACTAGATTATAGCCCACAAGTGTAATTATTCAGTGTATATCCTGTATGTGGGATATCTACCAAACGTAAATACAAGGTAAGAGTGGCTGGGAAATGAGGAACTAACAACTTTGAGCAAGATTCTGCAAATTACTGAACACCAATTACACTTCTAAAATAATCTCAAACTCCATTGTAAATTTTTAAATGTAGAATACTTACTGTTGCCCTTAAGAATGTTGTAGTTTTATACCTGTTGCTATAAAAGTTGTCTTTACAATAATGATAAAATTTTAGAGACGTACTGTCGTTCTTTGAACCAACGTATTCTATGATCCACATGATCCTGTCATATGCTCAGATCAAAAATACATACTTAGTTTACATTTATACAAAGTTTTATAGGCTCCTTACTGTAGGCTACTGCCTGTACCCTGTCAAAGGTGACAAAGGGTATCGTCCCACTGTAACACAAAATCATTACCTCCTTATTCCCTGTACTTCTTGCCTCACACCTACCAACAGATATTCAGTATTTCATCGGTACCCTGTATACACTGCAGGTTGTAATAAGCATTGCTGCAGGTAAAATAATGTGTAGATGAAGTTGCAGAACATTTAGAACCAATGAATGTATACTGTTAATTCTTATGCAAAAATAGATTCGAAATAAACTTATCCAGTTGATCTCCTTCAGTGTTATTTAAAACTACAATTAATACCATAACCAAATTCGCATGAGGATTTGACAACTATTTGCTGGGGTATTGACAATTTGGGACGTGTTAAATAGAAAATGCTGAGAAACCGTTGTCTCACTCAACAGCGTTTAACTCAAGAAACAAAACATCAATCAGGACTTTGTTTCTTTATCTTTATTATAATTCTAACAATTTATTATCTCTTAAAACATTTGAAATTCATATATGATTATATGAATGTGTGTATATGCATTATCACATATACATATATATTCTGTAAGTTATCTTTCATCAGTTCATATTCTCATTTTTTAAAAGATCTCTTAAAGGAAAAGAAATGCTTTCTATAGAGTCGGACCGATTCCCTCAGGTCTTGACTTTGTCTCCTGACAGCGACGATGAGCCCGTCACTCTTTACCATAATAACTACTAAACACAAAGAAAGGATTAAAAACAATTCTCCAAAAACACCAGTTTCTCACCAGTCACTTAACGAGAACATCATCATATCAGCAAGAGATGTTTTCAAAATGTCTAATCCAAAGTTATTAATTGGCCCTGTTTACACTGGCAAACTGGTTTTAGATACCTGATAGAAACAAGCTGAATCTGGCTGTGGATCAAGAAGCCACATTCTGCTTATTTACCCTTTCAGAAACATCCCCTTTTTTTAGGCTGAAAATGACTTCAAAACCTTGTAAAGGGGAAATGCAAAAAAATAAAGAAATAAAAAAATAAAAATTCACAGTTGCTAATGGAAATAGGGCCATTGCATAATATGCTGGTAATAAACAATGAGCAGTGAGCATACTGGCACGTGTCAGCGACTGCAGAAGGTGCTTTGTACAAACGAGAGGATGCAAATGATGGAGCGGAGACCGAGTGGAGCTCTTAACACCGTCAGGTCAGTAACAGTGGAAGGGGGCAGATGCAGAGAACAGGTCGAACTGTATAGAAAGCAGAACAGTTAAATAAATACATGGTACCTTTTCATGTTAAACATTATTTGGAAGACAGAGATTCTTTAGAACTTTTGAGACTTTTTTTTTTTTTTTTACATCTTAAACCATAATTAGATGACCATTATTTTCATCGTCCTTATTGCTATTTCCCTATACAATCTTTCCTTGACCACCAGCAGCAGCACAATAATTACACAAACAAATCCCCTTTAATGACTTTTGCTCATTCACATTTATAGCCTGTGTGTGTGTGTGTGTGTGTGTGTGTGTACTTTGAGAGACATGATGAATGAAAACTTCTTTTATCTTTTTGCAAAAATAGACTGAGGAGGGCGGTGGCCCCTGTTGATGGCCCTCGTCCCCCCCCGATGTAAAACGCACGTTTGATATGTGTTCGAGGACTCAAAAAGCAGCAGGAGAGGTGAAGTGTTGTTCAAGGTAGAGAGGTCATGAGAGAGCCCTTATATTTGATCTCAGCAACGGCGAGAAAAGCAGGACTGAGGTTATAATGAGATGTAAATGTGCCATGAAACCTGATGAGAACATAATAAAGGAAAGAAATTTATATATGTGGTCAATCAAGAGGGCGGGGGGTGTGGGGGTGGCTGTTGTCCAGAATTGAAAAAAATAATCATTTATAGGACGTGCTTAAATAAAGTGAGACATTAATTTTTACTCGTGTGTATCAGGGGCATCCCCAGAGTAACAGCTGCTACATTTTCAGCATCTGCATAATATTAAGTGGCAACTCATTTTTAAAAGAGTGACAAAATCATATTTAGAGGCCTCAACGGTCCTCGCGTAATTCTGATTAAAGCTTCACAGACTGACTGAAGACAGAAGAAGTGATTAAAAATGTGCTTCACATTAAGTTGCAATGCTTCTTGTTAAGGGTACAGTGCACCAAATAATATGCATCTTTCAGTTCAAAAATACCTACATTATATATATAGATATATATATATATATATATATCTATATATATTTAAATATATAACCAACACGATTATCTTCACTAGGCAGAAAATGCACAAGCGCGCCATCCCAGCCTCCAAAGGCAGAAACTCTCTAAAGCTGTAATAACAGTAAGGACGATGATAGTAATGATAAGTAGTAACAATAAATCTCTTCATATCAGTATCAGTATTCCAGTATTCCCATTTAAAGTTTAAAAATTGTAAGAACAATCATAGTATTAAAATTCGATATAAGCGTTACTCTCAGATCCCCCATGGGCCGGGTGGCTGCTCGTTTCCTCCTGCATTTTAGTCGAGAGAGAGCGTGGGCGTTGGTTGGTTGGTTGTTGGTGGTGGCTGGTGGTGGGGGGGGGGTCCACTCCTGGAAGGAGCAGGGGGGATTGGGTGGGAAAGAGCAAGAAAATGGCAGTTTTTCCTCTTCCCCTCCCCTCTCCTTTCCAGGCTCCCTCGGACCTCACAGAAGGTCAGAATGTGGGGGGTGGGAGGGGGTGTACGACAGGTGCCTCGCACTGAGGAAGTCTTATCCCGGTAAATAAAATCCTCGGGGAGATTTCTCTTCACATTGTCTCGTGTCCCGTCACAGTCTGTCTCCTTTTGTATAAGTACATCTCGGATCCAAACATATAGTGTGTGTCTATATATAAGGTGTCCCATAAACTCTAACACAAACAGAGGGAAGTGCTTGCGTGTGTGTGTGTGTGTGTGTATGAGTGTGTGTCTACATGTTAGTGTATGCATGCAGGCATGTATAGTAGTAACTTGGGTGCCTGTGTGTGTGTATCAGTGTGTTTCTTTTTTTTTTTATTTTTATGTTGTTGGTCTGGGCACTTATTTTTGCTACAAATTTTGTGATACAGTGACCAGTCTGTATATATGTCATTATAAGACTTAAGATGATAAAGAGCTATAGAGAAACACATTAGATCCTGATGACAGGACCTGCAGTGAGGACAGAGCCCTACCAGTGGTGAGGTAAAAACAAGACATAACCAATCACAGCGAGCCACCTTGGCCTGAACCGACCCAGCTGTCTGCACTCTCGTCACCTCTGAAAGACGTGGAAGCTGTCGTGACACACTGCCCTGCGTCGACCAACGTTCACCATACGGACCGACGTGGCCTCACTCCTGCAGACAGTCATGCCCGTTCACTCATCTATGATTTTCAGACACATTTTAAAACCAGCATCCACTCAGGCAGGGAGGGGTTGTCTTTGATTGCACTAAATATTCTTGGTGGGTTCCACTCTTAAGCTCGAACAGATTTAACCAGCTGGCTGAGGGGTAACAAGGACTTTTCAACAACACCATGTGCACAATGGAGGACACCTTTATCTTCTCCTCTAGCCAACACAACCTGCTCAACTCCTTTTTTAAAAAGTGGCATTTGATAATAGCTGCTGCAGCCATAGTGTCTTCATATGCATTTTGGATGAGAGGGTGTTTGTGTTTGTTGATCGGTGTGGCCGTGCATGCATTTGGGGGAGTGTACTTGTGTAAATCAGCCTGCCACAACTGGGGAGCGCCAGCCGGTGTCTTTATGGATCGTCAGCCCTTTTTTTTTTCCGTCCCCGTGTTTCCATCTCCCTTTGGGACTCGACTCCCTCTCTCTGTCGCTCTCTGTGTGAAATCTGTTCCCCGCTCATTTGTTGTGTGAATCCACCATGGACAGCAGCAGTTGTGTCTTCCTCCCTCATTGACTCCAACCCCTCCTTCTCTCTCTCTCTCTCTCTCTCTCTCTCTCTCTCTCTCTCTCTTTCTGTCTCTGCGTTTGCAAGCTCAGCTCCGACTCCCGTCGTCCCTCCTCCTCTCAGTCTGTCCATCCCGAGGTGAGAGAACAGAAATGGGAAATGGGCTGCTGGACAGCCTGAGGACAGAAGAACAAACAGAGGACACGTGTGATGTTCAGTGCTTTCTGTTAGATGACAATGAGTGATGTTTTATAGCATAGTTGTGTGATTCGTGCTTTTTAAAAATGGAGTGAATTATTTGTTCATAAGGAAACTACAGTGGAAAAAACAGCTCCATCTTGGATCTGGTTCCAAAGCTGATAAATTACCAGCAGATTAGAATATTAAGCTCTGAAGCCAACAAATCCCTAATTGTATCCTTCATTCATGTTTTC